ATACAAAGCTAGGTTGGTTGCAAAAGGGTACTCTCAACAGTATGGTATGGATTATGAGAGACATTTGCTCCTGTTGCAAAAATGACTACTATTCGTACTCTATTGCAGTAGCTTCAGTTCGTCAGTGGCATATCTCTCAACTTGATGTTAAAAATGCTTCTTGAATGAGATCTCAAGAAGAAGTTTATATAGCGCCCCCCTTTGGTGTTTCACATGATTCTGGGTAGTTTCAAGCTAAGAAAGCTTATATGGTCTTAAACAAGCACCTCGTGCTTGGTTTGAGAAATTTTCTATTGTGATCTCTTCCCTTGGATTTGCTTCTATGTCATGATTCTCTCTTTTTGTAAGTGCACTGCTGCAGGTCGTATCATTCTGTCTTAATGTTGATGACATGATTATTACTGGTGATGATATTGATGGTATTTCAGTTTTGAAGACAGAGTTAGTCAACAGTTTGAAATGAAGGATTTGGGCTCTCTACGATATTTCTTGGTATTGAGGTAGCCTACTCACCTAGAGTTTTATCTTCTCTCTCAGTCAAAAATATGTTGCAGATATTCTGAAGGGCTAGACTTACTGATAATAAGACTATCGATACTCCGATTGAGGTTAATGCAAAGTATTCTTCTTCTGATGGTTTACCTTTGTCGATCCTACTTTATACCGTACTGTTGTTGGAGTTTGGTATATCTCACTATTACTCGTCTAGATATTGCATATGTGTTCATGTTGTTAGCCAGTTTTTTGCTTTCTACTACAGTTCATTGGGCAGTTGTTCTTCGTATTTTGCGGCTTCAGGTATAGTCTTTAGAGTCTTTTACTTCCATCCACCTCTTCCTTGAAGCTGCGTGCATACTCTGATGCTGATCATGGCATGATCCCACGATCGCAAGTCTGTTCTGGTTTCTGTATCTTTTTTGGTGATTCTCTTATTTCTTGGAAGACAAGAAACATCCATTGTTTCTAATCTTCAACCGAAGCAGAAATCTGCTATGCATCTACTACCAGAGATTGTTTGGTTACGTTGGTTACTTGCAGATATGGGCTTTCTTTTTCTCATCCCACCCCTATGTATTGTGACAACCAGAGTTCTATTCAGATTGCTCACAACTCGGATTTTCATGAACTAAGCACATTGAGATCGATTGCACCTTACTCGTCATCATCTCAAGCATGGCCCCATTACCTTGCCCTTGTTTCTTTTCTTTGCAGATTACGATTCTTTACCAATCCATTCTATTTCCCGTTTTCTTTCTAGTTGGAAACTCTCGATGCTGTAGCCGCGCATCTGAGTTTGAGGGGAGATGTTAAGAAATATGTTATTTGTTTTATTGTTTATTAAGGGTAGATTTGTCTTTTATTATTTTCTTTGTTTAGCCTATATATAATTGAATTGTGCAGTATCAATGAAACCCTAGCCTCCTCTTTTTATTATTTCTTGGATTGTTTAAAGTCCAAAAATAGCTACCTTTTTAGCCACAAAAACCATTTGATATCTAGAGCTTCAGCTGCACAACATGAGAATTAGTAACAGTCTCTGCATAGGTGAAGTCTGACATATTTTCACCATTTCCTAAAATAAACTAAAATGAGAAATCTGTTACTCTAAAAAGATCAAATAAAACACTACATGCACCTAAGATATACAAAACCAAATGTTATTTTAATACAAAGTTTATAGTTTCTTATCAAAAAAATTTCTTAAAAAAAATATACTTCATATAATTAGGTTGTGATCTGGGGCAAACCCTAGAATCATAAATATAAAGGTTAGGGGATAAAAAAAAAAAAAAAAAAAAAGGATAGACCACCCATTGTAAGGTCTATAGTTGAAGGGCATAATAGGCATTAAGGGCAGTTGGTGTGAAGAATGTAGGAGAGTTTGTTCAGGCATATACACGTGGCTGAATAAAGGGTTATTGAATTAGGGACAGTAGTAAGAATAATTAGTATAAAGCTAGAGAGAGAGTGAGAGGGAGTAATTAGTATTTTCTTGAAAGGTTTATCAATGGAGGTCCCTATCTCCTGGAATTGCTAGGAACTATCTTTGTTTTCTATTATTGGTACTGTGTTGGGTCCTTTGGGCTCTTCAGGTTTTGTTTATTCTTTTGTTGAATTAATATAATTTGTGGAGTTGCTTTTTTCTTCGTTTTGGTGGTTTGTTGGTGTAGAATTGAACAATTTTGTACAGGGGTCCTAAAAAAATAAATAAGTTCAAAAAAGAAAAAGGTTATTATTGTAGTCAAATATTCACAAGTATACTTCAAATATATTTCCATCACATTTGACAACTTACAAAATTCCGCATAAAACAAAGAAAAGTAAGTTAATCAGACATAAAATATCAAATCTTCGCCCAACCAGATTTGGCCAAATTCACTAAAACATGTTTATCTCCTGATCCAAAAACATTGCTAGGACGAAGAGCATATGTCAGAAGACCATCAATATTGTTAGCAAACAGAACTAGAGCTTCTGCTTGAGCCTAAGGTCACACATCATATCCTAACGTTTTAGGTAATACATCAAAGATCAAAGAATGATTAGACATGTCAGAAGACATTTATAAGAGAAATGCAGTAAGCAGAAGAACTACTCTCCAATGGCTTTAGGATTCATCTCATTTAAAGATCCTCTTTTCTTTTGTAAACGTTCTTGTTTTAGTTTCTTCTTTTCTCAACTTGTAAATTTTCAACAATGTGTTAGTGAATCAAGAGTAAATAGTACCGGGCAAATAATTATCTGTTTAAATCATGTAGAATGTCTAATCTCCGATCTGAATCGGAGAAATCATTGTAGCATACAATAAAATGATTATTGAACATCTTTGCCCAGTAACTAAAACAGAGCCTTTCCGCAGTCTGGAACCTTTTGCAGTTTTATATTCAAATGTTCAAATAAAGGTCTCCTGATAGGATTTCTCTGAATAAAGTTGACACACCATGAATTTTTGTCATGCAAACTTAAAAGTGGCGTTTTGACAGGAAATTGAGGAAGCTGATTCAAACATTCACGATAATTTTCGTCCTTCAATAGTAACTGCATGACTAAGGACATTGTACATTCAGAGCTTCACATTTCTCTTCGCCATCTTATGAAGAGTTCAACAAATTTTGCAACCTCGTTACTCTTGAGGAAACCAAACATAATCGTAGTAAATGTGAATACATTTGGAGCACAACCTTTTTCCTCCATGTTGACGCAACTTGTTTGCTTTTCTATTTGTCCATTTTTACAAGCCATTGATCAAAATCTATCTTTTACAATGTTTGGCACTAGGTTTCATGTTGAGAAATTTCTGAAATAGCTCCCAAGCAATTTCTAATCTCCCTGTTTACACAAGCCATCAATGAGGGAACTCAAACTTTCAAGGCTAACTGCAAATTTATTATTTACTAAATTATGAAATCTTTCCACTGCTTCCAAACACAACCATCTTGCAAAGTCCTCAAATGAATGTAGTAGTATAACACCTAATTGCATCTCATCAACTAATTTCCGTGCATGTTCTACCTAGCTTTAAGAAAAAGGCCAGTTAACAAAGTGTTATATGTATCACATCACTAATTCCTTCTGAAACATCTCTCCATAGAGTATAGAGCTTTGTGACTTTTGGTGGTTCTTGCAATACCAATTGATAAAATATTGAAGCAAACAACATGAGGTGTATACCCCTTTCTAGTTAAGAATCAAACAACTCCCTTGCATCACCAATTCTTCCTGCCAAGCAATAACCATTATTAAAATGTTTTAGTATAAATGCAAGGCCATACCTCTTGAATCATTAGTTCCAACAACCATTTGCTTCGTCTAATTTCCCTCTCAGGCAAAGTTCATTTATGACCACATTAAACCTTTTCTTAATAAAAAAGAAACCGGAAGACAAATCCCAGTGAAGGAAAGTGAACCTCGTTCATTGAACCAATTGCAAATATCCTCTTCTTCCTTCTCATCACACTTCTCATCACATAAAGATCTACTTCTTATCATACTGCATATTTTTTTGTCTATGTTCCAATCCTCAAGCGAAGACTTCACACTTTCATAGACATCATCTATGTCTGCTTCCAAGAAAATAATTCTATCTTTCCGTTCCCAACTATCATCAATAAACCAGATTCTCATTAACCACATTTCCACTACAGGCAACCGCTCAATTGTCACATTAAATCGACATGGGAGTTTATCTAAATATCCACGAAGCTTATCCTTCTCTTGTTGATAGACATCAAGTATATCATTCTTTATGTCTTTTATCCCATACTTAATAATCTTTCGCACCAAATCAGAGCCATTCAATTCTGGATCGATCAAACTTTTCTCTTTTGCTTTATCAACAACTCCACCTGGATTTCTCAAACATGGGCAGCTTTTTAAATGATTTCTGCGATGTGTGGTTCCACTCTTACTTGATCCTCCAAACTCTTTCTTACAGTGTTTACACCCAGCCCATTCCTTCCCATCTTTGACATGATATATGAAGTCTTCCCAAACCTTTGACCATCTTTTCCGTGTAGAAAATGATGAATTCTTCACATTTGTATTCAAAACCATCTCAATCTCTTTGTTTTGTTCTCTTATTTGGGTAATTTCCTGTTAATATACAAACAACAAAGCTACGGACACCGAAAAAGTTGCACCGAAATTCTGTATCGGCCTACGTGTAACGTGCCTCTGAATTTTTTTACAATTTTTTTCTAGTGAACGGCCGTCCATCAAATTTGGATGGCCGTTCACTCACATGGACGCTCGTCCATATTATATGGACGGGCATCCATATACAAGGGACAGGCGTCCCCATTTAAAGGACGCCCGTCCCTGATTAAAATACAATAAAAAAAAAATTTATAAACATTAGGGATGACCGTTCATCCGTTATGGACAGTCGTCCCTTTATTTTGGACAGGCGTCCGCAAATAAAGGACGCCTGTCCATAAAAAAAAAAAAAAAAAAAAAAAAAAAACTTTGGGACGGCTGTCCATAAATTTTTGACATCACGTATCGTATGTCTAATCAGGGAAGCCATCATTCTCGATCATCCCCATCACCCTCCCTATCAAATTCGAACAGATGAAAGTGTTTTCTGAACTTTCTTCTTACTGTAACCAAAACAGAGCATTTGGGCAGCTGGATGAACTTTTGCAGGATTCTACTCCAGAAAAAGTATAATACTCACTAAAGTTTTATCATGTAAACTTCAATTTCGCTTTTGGACCAGAAATTGAGGAAGCTGGTTCAAACATTCACGATAATTTTCGGCCTTCATTAGCAACTGCATGACTAAGGACATTGTACATTCAGTCGGCTTCACATTTCTCTTTGCCATCTTATGAAGGAGTTCAACAACTTTTGGTATCTTATTATTCTTGAGGAAACCGAACATTAGGGTATTAAACTTGATTACATCTGGAGCACAACCTTTTTCCTCCATATGTGACAACAACTCATTTGCCTTTTCTAGTTGTCCATTTTTACAAAGCATATTGATCAAAATGTTATAAGTGACTACGTTTGGAGTAGTTCCTGAACTCTTCATTTCGAAATACAAGTCTATCGCCTTCTTAACTAATCCAACCTTCCAAAGACCATCAATTATAGTACTATAAGTAACAACATTTGGCCTACAAATAACACCAGATTCTTCATTTCCCTTAGCCATTTCTTCAAGCAACTTAATTGCAGGACTTATCTTCCTTGTTTTACACAATCCATTCATTAAAATGCTGTAAGTATAAACGTTAGGAACCACACCTCTCTGAATCATAAGCTCCAACAACCTATTTGCTTCGTGCAATTTCCCTTTCTTGCAACGTTCATCTATGAGCACATTAAACGTCACCACACAAGGCCGCACACCTTGATCTATCATTTCAATAAATAAACTTCTACCCTTCTCCCAATCACCCACACAACAAAAACCATGAATTAGAGTGGTATAAGTGACTGTGTTTGGACTGATTCCAGAATCCTTCATTTCCAAAAACAATTTTCTAGCCTTCTCAATTAATCCAGCCTTACAAAGACCATCAATTATAGTAGTATAAGTAACAACATCTGGCCTACAAATAACACCAGATTTTTTATTCCCATCAACCATCTCTTCAAGCAACTTAATGGCAACACTTATCTTCCCCGTTTTACACAATCCATCAATCAAAGTGCTGTAAATGATCACATTAGGCCTACAACCAACATCAACCATTTTCTGAAACAATTCCATCGACTCCACAATCTTTCTCTCTACACACAGACCTTTGATCAAACAATTAAAAGTCATAGCATCAGGGCCGAAACCCTTCTTCAAAATCTCCCCCAAAACGGCAAAACCATCAGAAACCCTTTCAATCTCACACAAGCAATCGATCAAAACGTTCAAATACAATAAATCTGGAGACAACCCAGTTGAATTCAACCACTTATAAAGAGAAATCACTTCATAATAATGCTTCTTCTTTGCCAGTGCACTAAACAAAGTAGTGAATGATGAAATTGGAGAGATGGGTTGCGAATTAATCATGTAATGAAAAAAGTTCAATGCTTCATTCAGAGTAAAGTTACCTGATCGACAGTTTTCTTTGAGGAATTTAGCAAGTGAGGATCGTTCTAGGGGTTTTTCGAAAGAATACAAAACTTCATTGTTGGAGCTTGAAGTTGTGAGGTTGTGCAAGTGAGCTAACAAAGATGAAATATTACCTTTCAGAGATGGGTTTTGAGAGATTGAAGACGAACGAAATGGGGATCTCAAAGCCATGTATGAAGAGCGTTTTCCAGGTTTAGGGTTGGATGGTTGCTTTTCGGTTGCAGGGGGTTTTACTTTTTAAATTCCAAAATTATCCAGTTGACCAAACCAACTAAAGTAAATCTTGTTATTGAAATTTGAATTTAATTTACAATGATATTAAAAATGTTATTTTATTTTTTTCTATTTGTTCTTTAAAATTTTAAATATATCAATTTATATTTCATATTGATGAATGTGATATATTAAAAATTAGAAGTTATATGAATAATTTTTTCATATTAGATTAACAAGATTATCAAGCTAATTATGTTTGTTGAAATATTTGTATTATTAAAATAATATTATGTATAATTATTTTATATTATATAAAAGAGCTATATTAACAGCCTTGAAGTTTGATATATAAAAATAATCTAATTTATGAAATAATAAAATTCTTTACTGTTAAATAATAAAGGTTAAAATAATATAACGAGAATTATAAAGGTTAATTTATAAATATATGTTTAAGCGGTAGACTAATAGTTTATCAGTAACAAAGAGAATTTTATTATTTAAAAAATTTTAAGAGAATTTATATAATTATAATAAACCTCAAAATAGTTGATTTAATGTCTTTAACTCTTTATGATACTATTGTAATGTTCCACGTTATTTTACTATAAACAAATTAGATGACAGTAACAAGTTACAAGAACCAATCAATTATATAAACATTCTCTTGACAGTGTGATAAAAGAGTGACTATAAAAGATCATTAAACATTTTATCATCCAATAACTTTATAATGCAAAACAACTTTTCAGAATTATGCTTGATATCTATACAAAGATTCTTTGTTTTCTTTTAGTTTAATCTCATTCTTAAGGTTTTGGCCTTGTTAGAACCCATGGAATTGCCCATATGGCCAACAATGCATGTAATATGGCCTTGGTAGAGCCCATGGAATTGCCTATGGCTAGATCGAAGCAAACTACCAAAAGCATCGTTATTTTTTTTTTTTTTATCAAAAACGTTGGATCAAATTTGATTAGAATATGGTATTGGAATATTTGGAGTTCACATATCCTTGATCATCTTCTCAATAATTTACAACGTTAAATTCAGTACGAATATATCTAATGGTCAATGAAAAGATACCTTGAATCTTTCTTCTGCTTCAAATTTTTGGCTAAGTAGATGAGATGAGATTCAACATTTCGAGTACTCGAGACTATTAAAGACATTGGATATCTAATGGTCAATTAAAAGATTGAACAATTTTGAGACAAAAGTCTAATTAAGTTACCAGATCATGTACAAGTAGTTTAAAACTTAGTTGAGAAAAACATCAAGTCATGGAATCAATTCCAATCGTTTACCACTGTATGGGCGTTGGGTTCATGCAATATCATGTAGTTACGAAGAAATGATGCAACGAGAGCTGGTAGATAGCATATCAACAATGTTTTTGATTTCTTTCTACAATTAAGGAGCTTTTGCTAGGCCATCTAGTTCTTATAAAAATAATATTATGTATAGTTCATTATAATTACTAATTTTATATTATATAAAAGAATCATATTGACAATCTTATGGTTGGATATAATAAAAATAATCTAATTTATGAAGTAATAAAAATCTTTATTATTAAATCATAAATGTTAAAATAATATAACGAGAACAATTTAATAATACTTATTAATTTATAGATATATGTTCTAGCAAAAGACTAATAGTTTATTAATAACCAAAGAAATTTTATTATTTTAAAAATCATAAGAGAATTTATATAGTTATACTAAACCTCAAAGCAGTCGATTTGATATCTTTTAACTCTTTTTAATCTTTATAATACTATTATAATGTTTCAAGTCAGTTTATCTATAGTGTTCAAAATCTCTGTCACCCTCTCATCATTATAAGCAAGTTGAGTTAGTCTGGTTTTTCCAAGACGTAATCCAACGATAGGGATAACCGAAATTAGGAAAGACCCAATTTGTCTTTTCTCTTCAACATCACCTTTCAACAACCCCTTCTTTCAAGTGAAAGTTAAGCCTTTCAACAACCAAAAAGTCTAATCTTTTTCTAATTTCTTTTAGCTTAGGGAACAATTCAAGATAAACTGCAATTGGTTTTAAAGAAGGAAAGAAGTCAGTAAATACCCCGATCATGAAGAAGCCTCGGTTCCTAGCCATTAGAGCATCCAAGCAAAACTCATCAAGTAAATTGTCAGCATCATAAAAACAAAACTTTTTAAAGTCACCCAACCATATTTTCACTGCTTCTCCTTCACTGTCGTTCTTCTGCATCTTCAAGAACTGCTTGAATGATGCCTACAGAATGCCGAAGCTTGTCTTATCTCATCCTCAAACCCGCATTTAAGAGCCATTTCTTTCAAAAGTGAGAAGCAACTTTGGAAAAACTACTTCCAATAAGGGGCATAATAACATCTGCCATTTGCAAATGATGAAGGATCAGTTCACGCTCTAGAAATTCCTTCAAAGATATGCTGTTTTGTGAAAAGTTTGATCAAATCCTTAAGATATGCGTTCCGCAATATAGTAACTCCTTAGGATACTGAAAGTCAAAGTCATCTTGCATGTGTGAAATCAATGAAATTCAAACAACTGAATGTAAGTTTACATCATTACCTTATTAATTACTTTTGACTTTTTCTTGTACGTGACATTGATGTTCATATAAGATGCAAGTTTAAAACCGGCGGCTTGGCCGATTTAACCGGTTCGACTGGGGAATCAGTGGCTTAGCCGGGCTGGTTAGGGTAAAAACCGAGAAGAATGAAATAACCCGTTTTGTCTGCGGTTGGACCGGTGTTACTATAGCGATCCACCGGTCCAACCGGTTTTGTCAACTCAAATTCCTAAGTTCCAAGATTCAAACCCTTTTACAATTTAAGTAAAGACATGAGGCTAATCAACCAAAAAAATAACATTAATCAACGAAGCCACTAGAAGACGAGAGAATCCAACTCAAAAGAGGAGAAAAAACAAGTGAGAGGAGTTGCCTAAACCGTTGCTGCTGCGGTGGCGATGGTGGTGGAGAATGGTGGAGGTGATATAACAATGGTGGCACACAGCTAATAAGAGAGAAGAAAACGAGGATTTTGTCAAAAAGGAAAGGGAATTTGTTTGTGTGTTTTGGTGTAGAAGGCATGCACCTTTTGATTAGAGGAAAGCTGAAGAACCGGAAGAGCTTTAATAATTAAAACGGAAGAAATGAAGAGGTAAAAGAACACAAACAAAGAGAGTTGGAGAAAGAAGTTGTTAAAGCTTTCTCTCTCTAATCTTAAGATAGAAGAGATTGAAATAAATAATTTAATTTAATAAATAAAGAAGGTGTACTTATATTGTATTTAGTGAGTTTTCATTGAAAATAAAAAACAAATATTAAATGTCCTTGAAAAAGATGAAGAGTGTACTGTATTGCATTTAATGAAAAATAAATAAAAAGTTGTTTTTTCGGTGGACACGTTTTGATCATGTGAGAGGTGAGAGATTTATGAGCTAATGAGATAAGAGTAATGTTAAAATATACCGAAATTTTTTACTGAATTTTTGTATTTAACGACATGACAACTAGTTACACATGATGTCTTTCGTGAATAAATGGTCATCCAATATTTATGGATATCTATCCATATTTAATAGACTCTTATTCATATTATACGGATGGTTGTTCATTTACTATAAAAGATGGATGGACATTCATCCAAAAAATTTTAAAAGCAAAATAATGGATGCCCGTCCATCTGATATGGATGGGTGTCTATTTACTATAGACGCCCGTCCAAATTATTTTAAAAAATTTTACATTCAATAGACAAATGTATTTAATTTAAAAAAATTTACATTCAATTTGGGAGGCCCAAATTTTAGTTTAATAAAAAATTTCTTTAAGATTTTCAATTAGAATGTTTAAAAATTTAGGCCTCCCAAAATAGGTTTCATTTCTCTCTTGCATTTTGTTTATAAATGAAAAAACAAAATTAAAAATTAAAAAAAAATTGAGAATGGACGCCCAGTTTTCATTTCTCTCTTGCCTTTTCTTTATAAATGAAAAAAAAAAATTTGAGAATGGACTGGTGTCCATATTTTTACTTAATTAAAATCAATTTTTTTTTCTTTTATTTCATTTAAAAATTTTATACTTTAAAAATAAATATTTCATCTAAAATTACATGGACGCCCGTCCATATAATATGGACGACCGTCCATAATAAAAGGATTCTCGTCCATAATATATGGACGGAAGTCCATAACTATGGACAGTCGTCCTCATAAGAGGATAGGCGTCCATAAACATTTTAGGCCAAATTTTTTTAATTTAAATTATGAATGGACGGCCGTCCATATAATATGGACGAAAATCCATTTCAAATGTGGCCGTCCAATAACAATGGAAGGTCGTCCATATTTGATGGACGACTGTTCATTCGCGGAATATTTGTTAATTTGTTAACGTGATACGTGGCTTGTCTAATTCAGTTGACACGTGGTTCGGTGTAAAAATTCGGTCAAAGCGTCGATGTCCGTAGCATTTTTCATGAGATAAAGAAGGAGAAGTAGACAAAAAAACATTGATTGGGTGATGAGATCAAGAAAATGATGTCACCAATTCGACCTGCCGATCGAACCGGTTCAACCGAGTTAACCCAAGACCTGATCATCTGTCCGAGTCATTGACGGGATCGGTTTTTAAAACATTAATAAGATGATACATAATCTAATATAAAAATTTACGTGTATTGAAAAAGGACTTTCTAAAATACTGACTTATTACAAACTGTTATGTCGTGTTTATGAGAAATTTCTGTCTAACCAATCTAATTACAAACTGTTATGTCGTGTTATGAGAAATGTTTATTAGACTATCTTTATTCGATCTTTAAAGATGAAGGGTTAGAGCTCCCATCAACCTTTGAAACAGAAAATATGTATATTTATATTATTATATATTCTGGTTTGGTTAAATGTTAGCTTTTATAATTTGACTATTTACTTCTTATTATATAAACTGGTTTTTTAAATGTTAACTTTTATAATTTGCCTATTGACTTCTTATTATATAAGATGGTTTGTTAGTTGCTATTTGCTAAATCAAATCTAAGGCTTATTCCTCACTTAATCGCTCCGTCCATGTTGCTAATTGTTGTAACCGAAGAAGAAAAAGAAAACATTATCTATTCATTTTCTTAGATTGATACATAATACATTCCCCTATTGATAAAAGGACACTTTGAGAAACCTAGCTTGACTCGACAGCATGACTTGCGAGTTGCGACTTCGAATAATGTAAACAATTCTGATGATTTTTTTAAGGAAAAAATTGGAAACATATATTTAGTATAATGTGGAAACATATATTTAGTATTATGTCATTTCCTATAGTATCTCCTTTTAAGTCATTGAATTTTTATTTCACATCGAGAACATATAAATGAATAATGTAAACAAATTCTTCTCATCCACAACTAAATCAAAGCAAACCACCAAAAGCATCGTTATTTTTTATTTTTATAAAAAATGTTTGATCAAATTTGATTCGAATTGAGTTGGATACGTTATGAGCCTCTGTTATTTGGTTGAAGTGGAATGACTTCTGATGAGTCTTGGTGACAATAAACACCTATAGATGTTGGAATACTTGGAGTTCACATATCCTTGATCATCTTCTAAATAACTTACAATAACAAATTCAGTACAAATATATATAATGGTCAATGAAAAGATACCTTCAATCTTTGTTCTGCTTCAGACTTTTGGCTAAGCTGATGAGATGAGATTCAATGTTTCGACTTTCAAGTAATCGAGACAATTAAAGACACTGGACATCTAATGTTCAATTAAAAGATTGAACATCATTGACAATTAGAATTTGCACTATATGAATATATACCCCATCTATATTCTTTTTCAGGGGACAAAATCATCTCTACTGTTTTAAGACAAAGCCTCATTAAGCTACCAGATCATGTATAAGCAGTTTAAAACTCATTCAAGAAAAATATGAGTCATGGAGTCATTGCCAATCTTTAACCACTGTATGAGTGTTGAGTTCATGCAATATCCTTAATCCTGTAGTTACAAAGAAATGATGCGACGGGAGCTGGTAGATAGTGTATCAACAATGTTTTCGATTTCTTTTTACAATTAAGAAGGAGCTTCACTAGTCCATCCAGTTCACATTCGTATTGCTCGTAAACAAAGAGTGCAATCAAGGAGAAGACTAGAGCTACATAAAATTTCCAGAGAAGGTCAATTTGAAGAAAATATATTGACATATCAAATCATGGTGGAACAGCTAAACTAAAAATTCCTTACCTACGGCTATCACGGCAGTTAAGGATGATTGCAAAAGAATCAGCTTGAGAAGATAAAATGCAAGTACAACCTGAATCGATTTCAAAACAGTGTAAACCCAAAATTTGACAAAGTAAATATCGAGCATAGAGCAAAGGAGATAAAGCACAACAACATAATGTTGATGTTGGATCTACACCCATCAAATAACAGATATTTATTACAACAATTGTAAGAATAACAAGGGAGAAAATAACTTATAATTAACTAGTAATTGTATTTATTATGATCCAGAGGAATCATATCAAAACTAGACAAAGGTATGCTTGGAACTTTGAGACCAAATCTGTAGAGAAAGCATATCAAATGGTCAGTAGACCTGAAAAATCTTTCAAACAATCAACTTGATGATATAACAACATAAATTGATAAAAGCAAGAGGATAGTGACGGCAAAAGCTTGCATCTCCAATAAAAATCATATAAACATAAATTTTAATGCTACAGCACTCCAGATTCCGGACCATAAACTAAGAAATTCCTGAACAAATCAAGAAAAGAAGAAGTAGAGCATCCCAGATGCACTGCTTCAAAGAATTTTAGAAAGTAAATAACGAGCTTTCAACAAGAGTGAAAAAATGGCTGACTGTTGGAAGACTGATAAAACCAGGGAAAAGAAAAAGATTTGTACTTACATGTTTGATGGTAAAAAGCCATATCCAAAAAGAGTAATTGAGACCAACAATAGAAGGTTGGCTGCAGAAGAGGTAAAAATTCTTCCAGAAAGGAAAAACCAATAAAACAACAGAACCAGTAAAACGTCTGCAACTACAGCGATAGAGTTCAAGGTCAATTTACAGTAATAATCATATAATGAACTCGATATACAAAGCCCATTGAAATGCACCATAACAAAAATGATGAACTGATAAAATCTAACTTAAAAACATGCTCTGCAAAGCATGCTCTTTTAGTTAATATCAGTTGTATTTTACTTCAAATTTGAGCAATTGATTGCATATGGGCTTTCAGTTGCAATAACACACAAAAATGCCTCGTTCATCAATACAAAAATAAATATAGAAAACCAATTAACATATATCCTTCAGACAGTGATACATGACATAACTAGATATCAGGTATCAGACAGCAATTTGAGTGCTGACGCAAATTATTAGGGCTTGTACCAAGCACAACTGAGTCAAATAATTTTTCGTTTGAACACTAATAGACTTATAAGAATGTAATCTTCATTCTTTAGCCATAAAATTTCAAAAGGTTCGCTTTAGAGTCTATTTAAAGAAATTTATAATGCTATAAGTTCTAACCTTTCCCACCGCCTGGCAGCTTTTTCTACTTTTGATTGTTCATTTAAGTCACTGTAATGCACTAAAGGTGAGTCCTTGGCTAAGTGAGAGAATGATTCAGTGGTTGAAGAGACACCTTCCTGCATAGCCAACAATTATCACAAGCATAAGATGTCAGACCTTAAAATTTCCACATCCTATTCAAACACATCATGACAACATACTCCTTAATGATAAGTTGCCTCCATAATACTATGTGCTATGCGGTGGAATCAGTTAATCTGGGTATAGATCCAAAAGTATTTTGGCAAAAAGTTGAAAACAGAGAATGGTAATGGGAAAGAGAACATGATTAGTCCTTTCATCCATTTGTTAAGTTAGATGACGGACTTACAATAAAAAGAAAAAAAAAATCCAAAGTGACTGAAATATCCAAAAATCCCCCACGTAAACAACTATTTTCTCTCCCATTTTTATCCAATTTTAGATGGAAAAACAAATTTCTTTAAGCACATTCCTTCTAACGAAAACAAGAGAAGTAGCCTCACCAAATCTTGCCCTGCACTCCACTTTCCTCTCTATTATTTCTAACCAAATGTAAATTTCAAATTTTCAATCAATCCATTACACAGTACTATCTAACCACCCAATATACAGTTAAATTGTCAAGAAATAATTACTGTACATCCAATTATATATATATATATATGATTGGTAAAAACTTTGTATAGAATTTTTAACCACTAATCCTACCATCACCGACTGATATTCATCTTTTTCCACCATGATGATTCTTACGACAAATTTTTTTTATAAACAAAAAGCTGGATATAGAAGACAATTCTTTCATCTTGGACATTTCTGCCATTATCAATTAATTGATTATTCCCTGTCACCTTTCTTTTTCCTTCGGTACTCTACAAAATATAATTCTACTTTCTATAGTCCACATGACAATAAGATCAGAAAAAAAAGATGCAACCACATAAAAATGCCAACATTCCCAATTTTAATCAAACTAAAAGTCTTGTGATATAGGTCCTAAGGATAATAGAATTTGACTTCATACTTTCCAAGAAACCAAGGTATTGGAAATTCGATAAAAAGGCTAACAAAAAGAGCAAACACAATAGACATATAACCCAAAAGAAAAATTAAACAGTTGGTAAATATTTATATACAAATAAAGAAAGACATCAAAAACCAAAAAGAAATGTACTTCCAGGGAGACAATTGGTGAGTATCCAAATGTCCTGGTATAGCTAATTGAACAAAGTAAAATGCTGATAGAGAATGGTTATTTGATCTCAAGTCCAACCTTGCATGTATCGATTTGACAAGCAAGAAAACATTATAAACCAAACTAATAAGAAGTCTTATAAATGTTCTGCAATACAAAGAAGCAACAGCTCAAGTTCAGATCCTTGTATCAGAAAATCCAAGATAGTAGCTATAGAAAAAGAAATACAGAATTAGTCCATGCCCCTAATACAGCAACGCAAGAAAAGTACAAGAGAATATAAACAACACCGCAATGAAAATAACATCATAATCATATGTTTACCCATTTCAAGTTGTTTATCATCCTTGTTTCATTTATCAAATGGATGAATTGGTAAAAATAAGGTTGATGTTTGTTCTAATAATCCACATATGGGTATGCATCAAATCAAGCAAGGAAGAAACAAGAACCAAGTTAAATTTTTCCCAGAATGCAATGTTCCACTATAATGATATTGTAAAAGCAACATTTCAGTTAAAGTCAGCTAGTGCTTCCATGGAAATTCTAACATAACGACATCAGAATGCAACTTTACCTTTGATATCCCAAGCCTTCACTACAACAAAAATGACCTACGGTAACACTGGACAGTAGCACTTTTCCTTAAAGTGTTACTATAGGCTATCTATGGTAACACTTAATGTTAAAAGGTTACAATAACAATTTTCATATGTAGCACTTTAACTTTTGCAGCACATTTTATATCAATGGTAACTCTTTTTTGTAAAATGTTACTAATATAGGAACTACAGTAGCATTTTTAAAGTATTACAATGACCTAATAATATAGTAGCTTTTTTATAATGTTACTATATAATCAAATTACAGTAACATTTTATAAGTGTTACCATAAACCCAAATATTTACCGGGAAAAAAAATATCATTCCCGCCAATATGAAATAAGGTTGATTTTGTCTCATTTTTATTGTTTCGGGGACAAACCATGTTATTTTGGGTTTATATTGTCACTTTTCATTCATGTTGGGATCAAAAAAATGTCTTACATATACCCAAATATTAAACGGCAAAATAACACTTAATACCGCCTAAGTCCTAACTCAAAGTTTCCCAAAATTTCCTAGCTAATATTCACATCAAAGGCAATTCTTTAGTTTGAGTTCCAGAGTTGGGGGAGTTTATTAAAAAGACATTTGAAGTTTACATTTAATTAAAAGGCTATCAGTTTTAAAATGTTAACTAAATAGCCATATTATTGATTAAGGGTAATTAGTGCTTAATTAAGATTAATGTAATCTTTTCAAAATTATACTATATTTCCACAAACCCGCTGACTAGTTACCGTTGGCTACTGTGAACACCCTGGTAGAGCCTCAAGAGAATCATCAGCATATTCTCATGTTTGGCAGAAGATCCTGCATCACCTGTAGTTGAGAATGAATGCATATGAAGTGAAAGCATATTTCTTGATCAAGATATGAGAAGAAATGAATTACCTCACTCTCTAGATTGGTTGGAGGTACAGAGCTAGCAAGGCTTCAGCAGAAGCTTAAAAGATGGCTGTGGAGCTACTAAGGGGTAAAAAGGTGTTGAAATATCTGGTGAGAAGTTGGCCAAGATGCTGTAACGAGAGGATAGATTCAGCAGAAATATCTGGGAAGGGAGGAATCTACACCTGCAATATATGAAGTTAAAAGAAACTAGACCTAAATAATTTTCATTCATTTATTGGAAGGGGAGAAGTCACCATGGTTAAAGGAGGTGCAGTAGGTGTGCTGAGGCAGCAGAATCTTGGTCTTGGAATGTAGAAAAAATGGGAGCTAGTCCTGGTGCCAATGCCATTGCAGGCTCATCTTCAAAATGAAAAAAAAACAATGTAAAGATGGAATTGACTTCATATTCTTCATCACAATGCAAAAGTAAATTGTGTAAAAAATTATCAATGAATGCCTGCTTAAAAGACAAGTCACATTTATGTTGAGACAATCACCTGTAACTTGTACAAACTGGTATGCATTTTTCTCCAAATGGTCACTTTGGTCAAAAATCATTCTCAGTCTCTTGCAATGTCACCATTCCGGCTATTTCGCTGCAAAGCCTAGTTGAAAACAGGTTTGTATAACAAAATTTATCATCCTTTGCACTTGAGCGGCTACCATTATTGTCGTAGTTGAAATAAGAACCATTCCACAATTTCTCTATACAACTTTTGCTTACTGAAATTTGCACCAGAAATAATCCTCAGCCCCTTAACACCTACTTCATGTGCAAATGCTGATGCGGCCTGCAATGATGCCACCTGCACTATTGCACTTACAACAGAACAGATCACGTATGGTCTGATCAGGGAGCCATCATTCTCGATCATCCCCATCACCCTCCCTATCAAATTCGAATAGATGAAAGTGTTTTCTGAGCTTTCTTCTTACTGTAACCAAAACAGAGCATTTGGGCAGCTGATGAACTTTTGCAGGAGTCTACTCCAGAAAAAGTATAATACTCACTAAAGTTTTATCATGTAAACTTCAATTTCGCTTTTGGACCAGAAATTGAGGAAGCTGGTTCAAACATTCACGATTATTTCGGCCTTCATTAGCAACTGCATGACTAAGGACATTGTACATTCAGACGCTTCACATTTCTCTCTGCCATCTTATGAAGGAGTTCACAAACTTTTGGTATCTTATTATTCTGAGGAAACCGAACATAGGGTATTAAACAGATTACATCTGGAGCACAACCTTTTTCCTCATATGTGACAACAACTCATTTGCCTTTTCTAGTTGTCCATTTTACAAAGCAATTGATCAAAATGCTATAGTGACTACGTTTGGAGTAGTTCCTGAACTCTTCATTTCGAAATACAAGTCTATCGCCTTCTTAACTAATCCAACCTTCCAAAGACCATCATTATAGTACTATAAGTAACAACATCTGGCCTACAAATAACACCAGATTCTTCATTTCCCTTAGGCATTTTCTCAGCAACTTAATGGCAGGACTTATCTTCCCTATTTTACACAATCCATTCATTAAAATGTTGTAGGTATAAACGCTAGGAACCACACCTCTCTGAATCATAAGCTCCAACAACCTATTTGCTTCGTGCAATTTCCCTTTCTTGCAACGTTCATCTATGAGCACATTAAACGTCACCACAGAAGCCGCACATCTTTATCTATCATTAGCAAAAACAATTCTCTTGCCTTCTCAACTAATCCAGCCTTATAAAGACCATCATTATAGTATTATAAGTAACAACATTTGGCCTACAAATAACACTAGATTTTTTATTCCCATCTACCATCTCTTCAAGAAACTTAATGGCAACACTTATCTTCCCCTTTTTACACAATCCATCAATCAAAGTGTTGTAACTGATCACCAGGCCTACCCACCAGCAAACCATTTTCTTAAACAATTCCATCGACTCCAATCTTTCTCTCCACACACAGACCTTGATCAAACATTAAAAGTCACAGCATCTGGGCTGAAACCCTTCTTCAAAATCTCCCCCAAAACGGCAAAACCATCAGAAACCCTTTCAATCTTACACAAGCAATCGATCAAAACTTCAAAGACAATAAAACCGGAGACAACCCATTTGATTCAACCACTTATAAGAGAAATCACTTCATAATAATGCTTCTTCTTTGCCAGGCACTAACAACAAGTAGTGAATGATGAAATTGGAGAGATGGGTTGCGATATAATCATGTAATGAAAAAGTTCAATGCCTCATTCAGAGTAAAGTTCCTGATCGACAGTTTCTTTGAGGAATTTAGCAAGTGAGGATCGTTCTAGGGGTTTTTCGAAAGAATACAAACTTCATTGTTGGAGCTTGAAGTTGTGAGGTTGTGCAAGTGAGCTAACAAAGATGAAATATTACCTTTCAGAGATGGTTTTGAGAGATTGAAGACGAACGAAATGGGGATCTCAAAGCCTGTATGAAGGCGTTTTCCAGGTTTAGGGTTGGATGGTTGCTTTTCGGTTGCAGGGGTTTTACTTTTTAAATTCCAAAATTATCCAGTTACCAAACCAACTAAAGTAATCTTGTTTTTGAAATTGAATTTAATTTACAATGATATTAAAAGTTATTTATTTTTTTCATTTGTTCTTTAAAATTTTAAATATATCAATTTATATTTCATATTGATGAATGTGATTATTAAATTAGAAGTTATATGAATAATTTTTTCAATTAGATTCAAGATTATCAAGCTAATTATGTTTGTTGAAATATTTGTATTATTAAAATAATTTATGTATAATTATTTTTAATTATATAAAAGAGCTATGTTAACAACCTTGAAGTTTGATATATAAAAAATAATCTGGCTGCGTTTGGTGTAATATTTTATCCCTATTCTGGATCCTATTTTCAAATAGCGTTTGGTACAATATTCTCAAAATATTACCCTATTTTTTAATTACATTTTACCCCATAAAGTTTATATTTCACTAAATACCCCCTAAAAAAAAGTTTAAAAATTAACAAAAACACCCCCATCAACCCAACTTGTCAGATTCCGGCCACCCCGTCGGTGATAGCCAGAATCTGTACAACGGCCAAACTTCCACCAGAAATGGCCGAAGTTCACCGCTGTGGCCTTTTCCGGCCAGATCCACCACGATCTGGCCGGAAAAGGCCAGATCTGCCGTCAGCGACGGCCAAAGAAATGGCCGTCGTTGACCGAAAACGACGGCCACATCTTTGCCGTCGCTGACGGCCAAAGTGGCCATCGTTTGGCATTTTCTGGCCGTCGACGGCCAAAACAAACGGTAATCTGGCCTTTTCCGGCCAGATCCACCATGGATCTAGCCGGAAAAGGCCATAACGACGTGTTACGGCACAGATCCGACAAGTCTGTGCCGTAACGAAATTTTCCGGCCAGATTCCGCGGGTGGCCGGAATCTGACACTGCAGATGGTGGGGGTGTTTTTGTCATTTTACATGTTAGGTCTTTATGTAAATTAGTAAACCTAAGGGCTTTTTATAAATTTTTAAAATTTCCCTCGTAATACTCCCATATCCAATAACCCAATACTACCCTAAAATCCTATCCAAAATACTAAACCAAACACACCCCTAATTTATGAAATAATAAAATTCTTTACTGTTAAATAATAAAGGTTAAAATAATATAACGAGAATTATAAAGTTAATTTATAAATATATGTTTAAGCGGTAGACTATAGTTTATCAGTAACAAAGAGAATTTATTATTTAAAAAATTTTAAGAGAATTTATATAATTATAATAAACCTCAAAATAGTTGATTTAATGTCTTTAACTCTTTATGATACTATTGTAATGTTCCACGTTATTTAATATAAACAAATTAGATGACAGTAACAAGTTACAAGAACCAATCAATTATATAAACATTCTCTTGACAGTGTGATAAAAGAGTGACTATAAAAGATCATTAAACATTTATCATCCAATAACTTTATAATGCAAACAACTTTTCAGAATTTTGCTGTATCTATACAAAGATTCTTTGTTTTCTTTTAGTTTAATCTCATCTTAAGGTTTTGCCTTGTTAGAACCCATGGATTGCCCATATGGCCAACAATGCATGTAATATGGCCTTGGTAGAGCCCATGATTGCCTATGGCTAGATCGAAGCAAACTACCAAAAGCATCGTTATTTTTTTTTTTTTATCAAAAACGTTGGATCAAATTTGATTAGAATATATTGGAATATTTGGAGTTCACATATCCTTGATCATCTTCTCAATAATTTACAACGTTAATTCAGTACGAATATATCTAATGGTCAATGAAAAGATACCTTGAATCTTTCTTCTGCTTCAAATTTTTGGCTAAGTAGATGAGATGAGATTCAACATTTCGGTACTCGAGACTATTAAGACATTGGATATCTAATGGTCAATTAAAAATTGAACAATTTTGAGACAAAAGTCTAATTAAGTTACCAGATCATGTACAAGTAGTTTAAAACTTAGTTGAGAAAAACATCAAGTCATGGAATCAATTCCAATCGTTTACCACTGTATGGGCGTTGGGTTCATGCAATATCATGTAGTTACGAAGAAATGATGCAACGAGAGCTGGTAGATAGCATATCAACAATGTTTTTGATTTCTTTCTACATTAAGGAGCTTTTGCTAGGCCTATAGTTCTTATAAAAATATTATGTATAGTTCATTATAATTACTAATTTTATATTATATAAAAGAATCATATTGACAATCTTATGGTTGGATATAATAAATAATCTAATTTATGAAGTAATAAAAATCTTTATTATAATCATAAATGTTAATAATATAACAGAACATTTAATAATACTTATTAATTATAGATATATGTTCTAGCAAAAGACTAATAGTTTTTAATAACCAAAGAAATTATTATTTAAAAATCATAAGAGATTTATATAGTTATACTAAACCTCAAAGCAGTCGATTTGATATCTTTTAACTCTTTTAATCTTTATAATACTATTATAATGTTTCAAGTCAGTTTATCATAGTGTTCAAAATCTCTGTCACCCTCTCATCATTATAAGCAAGTTGAGTTAGTCTGGTTTTTCCAAGACGTAATCCAACGATAGGGATACCGAAATTAGGAAAGACCCAATTTGTCTTTTCTCTTCAACATCACCTTTCAACAACCCCTTCTTTCAAGTGAAAGTTAAGCCTTAACAACCAAAAAGTCTAATCTTTTTCTAATTTCTTTTAGCTTAGGAACAATTCAAGATAAACTGCAATTGGTTTTAAAGAAGGAAAGAAGTCAGTAAATACCCCGATCATGAAGAGCCTCGGTTCCTAGCCATTAGAGCATCCAGCAAAACCATCAAGTAAATTGTCAGCATCATAAACAACTTCTTTAAGCTCACCCAACCATATTTTCACTGCTTTCTCCTTCACTTGTCGTTCTTCTGCATCTTCAAGAACTGCTTGATGATGCCTACAGAATGCCGAAGCTTGTCTATCTCATCCTCAAACCCGCATTTAAGAGCCATTTCTTTCAAAGCTGAGAAGCAACTTTGTGAAAAACTACTTCCAATAAGGGGCATAAAATAACATCTGCCTTTGCAAATGATGAAGGATCAGTTCCAAGCTCTAGAAATTCCTTCAAGATATGCTGTTTTGTGAAAAGTTTGATCAAATCCTTTAAGATATGCGTTCCGCAATATAGAACTCCCTTAGGATACATGAAAGTCAAAGTCATCTCTTGCATGTGTGAAATCAATGAAATTCACAACTGAATGTAAGTTTACATCATTACCTTATTAATTACTTTTGACTTTTTCTTTGTACGTGACATTGATGTTCATATAGATGCAAGTTTAAAACTCGGCCGGCTTGGCCGATTTACCGGTTCGACTGGGGAATCAGTGGCTTAGCCGCTGGTTAGGGTAAAAACCGAGAATGAGAATTAACCCGTTTTGATCTGCGGTTGGACCGTGTTACTATAG